TGCCATTTACAAAGACGTGTGTTTAACTTAGAGTGAAATGCTTGGCCATTGCAATAGCTGAAGATGAAGAGCTGTAACTTCCTCTTGGTACAGGGTGGTGGTCAGTATTTAGAGAGAGCATCATCTTCAGCCCACTCTGAGAGTGCAACACACCAAAGAAGCAGCATCCAGCAAATTGCAGATACTTGCACTTTGATGAGATGTGCAGGAGCAACCTGGACCTGCTTTGGAAAAGGGTTTGGAGACTAGACGGCATCGAGAAGCTTCTTCGAGAGTAAATTATTTCAGTTAGTATTATGCTTTCAAAAGTCTGCAGTGACAGGGTTTTTCTCTGGTTTGACATGAAACAGCTCTATAAACATGGGCCATATCAAAAAGCTTCTGACTACTTGCACCTGAAGTGTCATTCTCTGTGTTCACAGTGTTTCTCTTAAGTCTAATAAAGAACAGGACTGTGTTGGTCCACCTTGATAAGCAATGGCTTTAATTTTCCTGGTGAAATGTTACCTTTTAAGCAGTCAGCACACAGTATTGTATAGGCATTGTTACCAAGAGATGTCTGGAAAATAGAGAAAAGGGAAGGGATTGTATTCTTATTTCCTGAATTAAGCAAAATACTGTGAAAGTTCTCAAATAGACAGATTATACTTTTATATTTGGCAGTATTTTATGTCTAGGGAAAAACAACACTTGGGTGATTCTCCACAGCTTGTACATGAAGGTGGACAAAATTACTGCTTCCTGAAGAGTCAAAGAAATTATGATATTAGCCACATGTTAGGAAGCTAAATCAAAACAACAAAAGGTGCAAACTGTATTGTTTGGAATACTGACCCCTCTCTCAGCTAAGGCTCACTGAGCTGTTCCCAGAGCAGGGACATCGGCGAGTCATAGCAGTGACTTCCACAGCCCTTGGAGAGGAGTCATCCAAACAACTTAATACCCTCCACCTCCAGAAGAACTTTATTCAAATATAATGTTAACTAGAAAGCTCCTTCCCCAACCTGACCTCTTTCACTTGATTAATTCAGTCTGAGAAATGGAGCTGGTTTGCTTTTGATGCCCACCCCAAACTTTGTTACTGGATTTATAAATGTATCAAATATAATTAAAACTGGCAGAGGCCTACATTAAATCAAGCAAACTGTAAACATTGCTTGTGCTATTCATTTGATGCAAAGCTTTCCCCATAAAAGGCTTTTAAATAAATGAATTCAGCTCTTACTGTGCTACACCACTGAAACCTTGCTCCAAGAGTTTGAACTTTCCAGGGACACTGTCAGGTCATCTTAGATTCAAAACCTAATGCAGAGCTGTGATTCTGGAATTCCCTAGGGGAATTAGATACCTGACTTTTACTGAAAGTCAGTGTGTAGTGGGAAGTGAATTGACTTTCAGCAGGAATCAGATGCCTTTGAAAAGCCTATTCATTGTAAACAGAGGACCAGTCCTTCATGGAGAGCAATTAATGTAACTAACTCCTTTGATGCCTACAGACCCAGCAAAACATCTGATATACAAATGTTACAAAACCTAAGACTAGACAGAGAAACCTAAGAGCTACCTTTACTTATTTGATTGTATTTTTAGCACTAAGTATTTCCTTTCAATGTGCAATAATTATATTGTACAGTAATGATATTATTAAGGCATAACTAGAAGCCCAGCTTCCAGGAGATTATTTCATTAAGGACTTTCAGTTTCAGTCTGCCAGGCTGCAGCCTGCATCTAACCTATTGATTTTAGTGGTACTCCTGACCTGTTAAGGGCAGCTTCAGAGCCTCAGTACATTCAAGGTTTCCCACAAAACATTTCTGTATTAAAGCCCCTACACCCTTGTCTCATTAGCCATCATGCAATTTCATAGCAGGCAACAGGGAAACAGCATTTTCAAAAGCAGGTTTCTGTCTTGTTCATTGAGATTTTAGTGCTAAGCAATATGGCATTAAAATTTACACAGCTTTGAAAATAGATCCCTGGCTATTTGACACTATTTCCTTTAGTTCCTCAGCACTGCTTTAAAACGTAATTCAAGAAATGCCTCTATTTTTGTTTTAACTTATTTTTCACACAGGATGGCCATTTTTCACTCCTATGCTAAATTTCGCTTTTTTTTGGGCACGTCTGTTTATATCTCCACACATTTTACAACTTTAATAACCTGATGCTACATTATGAACTGAACTTTTTGGGATTTCCCTATCCAATGCCTTTACTGAAAACAACTTTAGAAGTACTATTGGACTGCAGTCAGATATTTCCCTTTCAGATCTTAAAAGTCTTATTTATCTCCAAATATTCCTTAAGAATTCTACTGGTCTCCTAGGTAAAGCTGCCTCATTCAATGTTCAGCGCGGTACTAGAGAGGGAACTTAATGACAAAGTCAGACCTTTGGGGGAAAGGATGACATCATGACAGAAGATGACACAGTCACAGAATGTACTGGTCCTTCATCTCTGGAATGGCAATTCTCATCTCAATAGAGATTATTACACAAAATTAGTGCACTTATTCCCTCTTTACCTTCTGTGGACACGAAATCAGACCACAGAATCACTTCAGAGAGCGTTACAGCTGGCAGGGTTGACTCATGAGGAAGCCAGTGTTTGAAAGAGCAGGTCAGGATTGATCAATAAAGCTATCATACATTGATCTAGCTGCACCAAAGAGCTAGCTAGCGTACACCAAAGATCTCACACAGCGTTGCCCAATCTGTTTGATCAGGGTTACGTATTAGTCCCTTGCTCTCATAGCTATAGATATTTTCAGATCTATTGAAAATAGCTAATGAAGATTCTTCTGTGATGTTGGGTAACTGAGGCTTGGCATCACAAAGAACGGAAAGGAGCAACATAACTATTTCATGTTGTAGGAGCAGCTGAAATCATCTGAAGACCATCTTAGCTACCTGCTACTAGGATGTGTCATATTCTAAAAGCTAAATAATCTCTGTTGAATTGCCCACAGATTGTCAGGTTTTATCTATTTCCATCAATTTAATTTGTTTTTATCTTCCTTGATTTGCTTTCCCACCTTTTTGCTATGAATATTCCTCTGTGTTTAGACTTCCAGAATAAGATTTTGAAAGCTAATAAGATATGGAAGGATTTGAGTGAAAATCCTTCATGGAAGCCAGGTCCTTCATTAACAATGACATAGAACTATATAATAAATAAACAAAAGAAGCTTGCATGTTCTGTTTATTTGTCTGAGATGGTAATGAGCATTGCCTCAATCATTGGGAAAACGGGGGAGTCTTGAGTAACATCTGTCTTCAGTTCTGAGCAAACTGATGTTTGCAACTTTAACTGGCATAAATGGAGAAATAAGCTGCACTTTTCAAGACTGTGGCTGTTATGCCCAGAATGAGAGCCCTGATTAAGCAAAGGGTCAAGTCCTAAACTATTTCTGCTAGTTGGCCGCATGAGAAATACTTCTGTAACATGAGATCTTAGGGTTACAGGCAGTGAACAAAGACATTGCAATTTGGAAAGAAGGCTTCAGAGCAGTACTTTTCTCTTTTTATATCCAAGAATTTTTATTGAGTGAGGTTGAAACAAAGAAGGTCTTGGGAGAAAAAAAAATAATTGTAACAATGTAATAGATCTTGGGTACTGTAATATCACCTAAAATAATTCAGTGGCAATTTTTGCTAATACATAACCCCCCCCAAAGAAACCAACAAAAACCAACAAACAAGTCAGACTGCATTTCTCAGCAAAGTTAGGCTTTGGAAGCCAATTCAGATTTTACATGGATGAAAATGTGAAGGGGTACTATTAGAGGTATTCCATTGCTGCACAGCTGAGTTGATATCAGAATCTGGAGTAATGGCTTCAGCTCGAAGATCTCCTTCTAACTAATGACAGCAGCATTTGGCTTTTAATCAGGACAGTTTAGCTGTAATATGTCAAAACAGCTTGCAATTCTTTTCAATAGTTAAGTACATTTGTTTAATATCTGTTTTTTCTTTACAATATAAAAGGATTCCAAGAGGTTTGGTTTTGTTTTCAAATCCAAATATTGCTTAAAATAAGTATTAAAATGTTTTTCTACAGTATTATGAACCTAAATAAAATAACAATTGGCCAGGATAAAGAAAAAGGATATTATATGAATTCCTAATCAAATTAAACTGAAGAGGCTATCTGCATTGTTCCATACGAGACAAATTAAGAACTGTGCAATCATGTTTTAAATTCCCCAGAACTGTAGTATTCTGCAAGGCTTTATAGCTGTGGGAAAACAGTCCTGATGCATGTACTGTTCTTTTCAGGGGAATTGTATGAGGTCCTTTGTGACCAATTCTCCTTATTTACACTCTCCTACATGGTTTAGCTTTAATGCACTTCATGGTTAAAGGAGAATCAGAAATTCAGCCCAGTCTTCCTTAAATTCTTGCTAGACTTTATGGTAACTTTATACCTTATTTTTTGTTCAGTTACCTAATACGAAGGATGATTTCACTGTCATTAAAGACCACCTCTTTTCTTCCTGTTTTTATATTCTTCTCCCTTTTCTTCTCATTGAAGTCTTCTTTCAAGTCGTAACAGACACTCAGAACACTTCATTGAGAAAAATGAGGAGTTAAACATTTTCTATTTCCCTAATCAAGACTCTGTCATTATCATCACCAGAAGGCAGAAAAACAGGTGAAGAATGACAGAATTACATGAAAGGTAAAAAGGACACTGATGAATTGATTTTGTGATCACAGTCACTTACAGTAATACATTGAATGTTGGCATGGCAATCTAATTGCACATTACATAACGCTGATGCTCAATTGCTTCAGTCACAATTGAGCAAAATATGAGCAGAAATTTGGAAAAGTCTCTGTTATTGTGGATTAATTGATACAACTCATCAGTATGGCAGTTTTCAATTTAATTTGGTAATTCTGAAATAGAAAGCCACAGGGATTCAATTCTAGAAGGAAAAGTATCTTAGAATAAAAATTCAGCCTGCTTTTGTTTTCTCCATTTGCAAAACATGATTTTTTTTTCTATCACTTTTGACAGTATCCTTTTAAAGGGAAGACTAAATTAAATTATAAAGGCCAAATTCTCTTCTCATTCACATCACAATAGATCCACAATAGTCCCAGGAACTTTCGTATTAATTTCCATTAAATCGGATCTGCAATATCATAGAGAAAGACTGATTCCTCTTTGGGTCCCTGATAAGCTACTTTCAGAAAACAGTTATGACAAGAGGACATACTTAAGAGCTCAGAACAGTATTTGAATTAAGAATGTGTTCAGTAGACACACTTGATTTCTTCCCACATCACAGATTTCTTATTCTGAAATCTGTATTTCACATAAATGGAGGAGAACAGGTAGGGAAAATTGATCTGAAGGCTAAATCAAATTTCTCGTGCAGTGACCTGCTTGAGGAACAGAAGGAAGGGGAAGAAGGAAGGCTGAGACTGGTGCAATTCAAAGAGCAAAGACATTAAGTGACAGCCCCAAAAAAGTGTCAAAGGTCTTCCAACAGAAGGTATGCCATTCACATCCATCCCACCCTCTGGTGACACCATCTCCCTAGCTGTTTCTGCGTGGTTCACATTGTTTCTACGCTTGCTGAAATGATTCCCACTGTTTCACTGTTACTACTATTATTATTTTACCTATCCACACTTGTCTCTGCCAGTCTGTTATTCATAATTGCTAGGGCTCCAACCCCACCAGAGAATCCATTTTGCTTTGAATTAGAGCTCATTTGCCTCGGATAGCCATTAGCAGTTTCTGACAGCTGTTTCTGCATGATGGCCAGTGAGACTTTATTGGAGGCCAGGAAGTCTTTCATGGAGATCATCTCGCCTGACAGCCGGCGTCCGTCTGTGTCGCTCTCGTTGACAACATCAGTCTCGATGGAGATGTTTCGCCGGCTGCGCACATTTCCTGGCATTACCACATTCCTCCGTGAATGGAATAATTTTCTTTGGCATTTGTGGCAGCACCTGCAGTCCAACTTCTTTAATATCCAGTTTATGGACTGTTTGATAACAATAGAGATCACATTAAATAAGGAATAGATGCAGCACACCCCCATGAGTATGAAGACAAAATTGCCAAAGCGGTAAAGGCCTTGGCTCTCATACTTGATGTTCTGGCTACTGACCAGATCACCGAAACCAATGGTGCTGAAGGCCACGAAGCAGAAGTAAAGTGAGTCAAAGTAACTCCACCCTTCAATCGGTGTGTACATTGCAGAGGCACAGCAGGAAATGATGAGTGATGCTACACATAAAATCAGCATGACATAGTACACAGAGGGCTTCCAGCCTGCCAGGCTGTCTACCTCAGAGGTCCCTGAGCCCCACCGGCTGTTGTGAGGGAGAACCCCTTTCCTCCTCAGCTGTCTTTCATGGCAGGACTTCATGATGTAGGCTATGACAGTGATCAAGCGCTCCAAGAACAGGTTAAAGAACAAAATGGTCCCTGCACATCCTATAAGGCCGTAAAATATCAGAAAAATTTTGCCTCCAACGGTGGCTGGGGTGGTCATGCCAAACCCTGTAAGACAAAACAAACAGTTGAAAAGAACAGACCTGTAGTTATCACGTTGGCAGTTTTGTCACATGCAAGACTAATGAACTGGCAGCTCAGGCGTGGGAAAAAACCGACGCTCTCCCCAGCTGCTGCCCCCTTGTGCTTGGCCATGTCCCAGCAGTAAGGGGAAGGAAACTAATGCCAACATTTCCTCCAGAATCAGAATGAAATAAAAAGCAGAAGAAAACACACTGGAAAGAAGAGTTTAGTGTAGGTCTGAATTTTGGTCTAGTTGCTAGGCTCACTCCATTCCTCTTTGTGCCTTGGATCACTTCCAGGCTTCAGGGTTATTGCATCCACTTACTTCTCTGTGATGCTGCTCTGCACTGTGGGTCTGACCCAAGGGTGGCTCTTGCCTTGTAGGGGTCTGTCCCCACCAAATCTTTGTAACACTAGGTGAAATATTCCTGAGCCTCATTTAGCTCCCTGCTGTAAGCGCAAGTGGCAGAGCACCCAGCACCCAGCATCTGACACTGGTGTCTGTCACCCATTACCAGCCCTTTTTAAAATCAGCAGAACTGAAGCTGTACTATTTCTCTGTGTCCGACTACACAGATTAAGTCTGTGCTAAGCTAAACAGCCTAGGCTAAAGCCTACAACAGTAGTTTTGTTTTGGTTAAAACTTTTGATAAGACAATCTTGCTTTAATAAGATATTACTAAAGAATAAAAAGCATATCCATAGCATCATTGAGCAATATGGAGCAATACTCATGATAAAAACTTTGCTGCTGTTTTATTAGGATTAATAAGGGATTACATAACTGATCAATTAAGCCAAAACAATACTGCTGGGAGAAAAGAAAAATCATGTTGGACAAGAAACACAGTTATTTATATACATAGCGAATAAAACTAACACAAGAAGCAGTATAGGCCCACTGCTGAATGAGGTGGGTGCCCTGGAGACAGAGGATATAAAGAAGGCAGAGGTGTTGAATGCCTTCTTTGCCTCTGTCTTTACTCCTGCAGACTCTCCCCGGGGGACCCAGATTCCTGTAGCCCCGGAAGGAGTCAGGATAAAGGAGGAGTTTGCTTTGGTAGATGAGGGTTGGGTTAGGGATCAGTTAAGTAATCTGGACATCTATAAATCGATGGGTCCGGATGGAATACACCCGCGGGTGCTGAGGGAACTGGCGGACATCATTGCTGAGCCACTCTCTATCATCTTTGGTAAGTCGTGGGAAACAGGTGAGGTGCCTGAGGATTGGAGGATGGCAAATGTCACAGCAGTCTATAAGAAGGGAAAGAAGGAGAACCCGGGTAATTATAGAGTGGTCAGCCTTACCTCCATCCCTGGAAAGGTGATGGAACAACTTATTCTTGACACCATCTCTAGACATATCAAGGATGAGGGGGTCATTAAGAGCAGCCAACATGGCTTTACCAAGGGGAAGTCATGTTTGACCAACCTTATAGCCTTCTATGAGCAAGTAACTAGGTGGATGGATGATGGTAGAGCGGTAGATGTGGTTTTTCTTGATTTCAGTAAGGCATTTGATACTGTCTCCCACAGCATCCTCATAGATAAGCTAAGGAAGTGTGGGCTTGATGATCAGGTAGTGAGGTGGATCAAGAACTGGTTGGAAGGAAGAAGGCAGAGAGTTGTGGTCAATGGGGCAGAATCTAGCTGGAGCTCTGTGACTAGTGCAGTCCCTCAGGGGTCGGTGCTGGGACCAGTGCTGTTTAATATTTTCATCAACGACCTCGATGAGGGAACTGAATGTACCCTCAGCAAGTTTGCTGATGATACTAAACTGGGAGGAGTGGCTGACACACCAGAGGATTGTGTTGCCATTCAGTGAGACCTGGACCGGCTGGAGAGTTGGGTGGAGAGGAACTTGATGAAATTCAACAAGGGCAAGTGTAGAGTCTTGCATCTGGGGAAGAACAACCCCATGTACCAGTACAGGTTGGGGGCTGACCTGCTGGACAGTAGTGAAGGGGAAAGGGACCTGGGGGTCCTGGTGGATAGGAAGGTGACCATGAGCCAGCAATGTACCCTTGTGGCCAAGAAGGCCAATGGCATCCTAGGGTGCATTAGAAAGGGTGTGGTTAGTAGGTCAAGAGAGGTCCTCCTCCCCCTCTACTCTGCCTTGGTGAGGCCGCATCTGGAATATTGTGTCCAGTTCTGGGCCCCTCAGTTCAAGAAGGACAGGGACCTGCTGGAGAGAGTCCAGCACAGAGCTACAAAGATGATTAAGGGAATGGAACATCTCTCCTATGAGGAGAGGCTGAGGGAGCTGGGACTCTTTAGCTTGGAGAAGAGGAGACTGAGGGGTGACCTCATCAATGTTTACAAATATGTAAAGGGTGAGTGTCAGGATGATGGAGCTAGGTTTTTTTCAGTGATGTCCAGTGATAGGACAAGGGGCAATGGGTGTAAACTGGAGCATAGGAAGTTCCATGTGAACATCAGAAAAATTTCTTTACTGTGAGAGTGACAGATCACTGGAACAGGTTGCCCAGGGGGGGTTGTGGAGTCTCCTACGTTGGAGATATTTGAGGCCTGCCTGGACAAGTTCCTGTGTGGTGTACTCTAGGTTACCCTGCTCTTGCAGGAGGGTAGGACTAGATGATCTTTGGAGGTACCTTCCAACCCTTAGGATTCTGTGATTCTGTGATTTGCTTCCTTCTCTTTGAAATTGTGAGATGCAAATTATGAAATAAAGCCATTAAGCTCTGGGAAATAAAGGAAATGTTATTTAGTGTGATAAGCTTGTGCTTGGAAGACAGACAACTCCCGTGCGAAGAGACCATGTTCCCAACAGTGCTGAACTGCACTCATATTCCCTTCACTGGCAACCTGTCAGCACAAATTCCTCCCTAACACTGGTTCTGCCTCACATGGTTAAGTGGCAGCCCTTGCCTTCAGCCCTGGGCACAATCCTCTCTGATCAACAGCCCCAGACAGCCTCAGACACAGGCTCTTGAGAAGTGCTGCATCTCTGCCTGCATCCATGGTTAAACCTCAGTGTTCAGAGGACCTGCATGACGCCAGCCTCCTCATCAAATTTCTGTGCTAGAGAGAGCTGGACTGCAGCTCTGTGCTGTGGGGAACAGCATGGTAAGACACAAACCACATAGACAAAATGTTCTTTGTGCCATCGTTCCCCTTGGCACACAAGTATTTCCGTTCATTTTCTACCTTCCCCTTCTGCTCCATGACCTGATCCCAGTTTGATGCTTATTTTCTGTGCAGGATGGCTTACATGCAAGCCATGACCTCCACCCTGTGGACAGACACATAAAGACCAATGGACAAGAGGAACCCCTCTGCAGCTGGTGGGATCTGCCCAAAGCAGCTGGCAGGGAGGAGGTCGGGGCTGCCCCAACCCTGGACTACTTTGTTCATTGAAGAAGTGGGTGCTGGGCAGAGATGGACAGTGGGGAGCCTCTGGCATAGGGTGAACAGTGCCAGGGACTGGCATGTATCTCTCACAGCACAGGGAAATGCCCTGGCAAGAGAAATACAGTTAAGGGTCACACCTCCCATATGACATTACACCTTGGAGTTGTTTCTTACAGGCCCCTCTGGGGAAACTGCTGCTGATTTGATGGCCAGAGCCTGAGCTCCTCAGGTTCATTTGTTTAGTCACTTGGATTCTGTCTCTGAGCTCAATTGTGTGGGTAAAAAAACACTTTACAAAGGCATCCAAATAGGCATGATGGGAAATGCAGGGTGAACTATAAACCCAAAAGGTGCAGAACACTGACCCAGAGAGGCAGCGAGCCTCTAAGTGTGACTGTCCCTTGTGAGCTCCTCCTCTTCAGGAGGGGCACTCTTTTTACTTCCTGGAGTAAATGTAATTTTGCATTCATTTTTCTATTTACAAATCTCAGCATGTAGCAATCAATACTAACATTTCCACAGAAGCACTGAAACAGAAAACCTGAAAGAAGATATTAATTCAACAAATATTTTCTTTCAAAGACAATTTGTCAAAATTGAGCTATAAGCTTTTAGTCCCAGAAATAATTTCAGTTCTTAAAATGCCTCTTATTTCCATGTACTGGGCCACACTATGCCTGGTTAACTTTAACCATCACTGTGTTACACCTGGGATTATTTTGAGATACTGTATTATAGACTAAGACTTGTTTGACAGTAAGTAAATATTTTTCCAGATGGAATCCTGAGGTGTTTGACATATTCATAAATCCAAATAAATCTGGTGAATTGTTTCAGCCAAGAGATGAAGGAGGGCAAAACTGTAAAAGGCTGAAACAACTGAAATGAAATTAAATCTTTTCTTTTGGCATTTTTATGACAAAACTTTTAATTTCAAAATATCGATCACCTTTTGTTAAAAAAAAATCAGTTTGAAATTAAAAGAATGGAAAAAATAATTGAAAACTCAGAGTTTTAAAAGCTTCATTATCTTGAAGTAGAATGCAATATTTCACTAATAGTCAAATTATTTCTTTAGAGGCTTTGATGAATAGGTTTGTGAAGAAGCTTTTTGTATGTCCAGGTACACTGCTGGTTTTGTGAGAGCTGACTTCCCTCTGCAAAGGCTGTACCACATTTTTGATGCTCCTCACTAGTTATATTCTTGTTTACACATCCCTATGTGCCTCTATGGAAGACAGACTTACTGGCCTATGGTTCCCAGGAACATCTTTGCAGCTTTTTCTACAAATTGTTGCTATACTTGCTATCTTTTCTTCTCCCTGCACCAAAACTGACTTAAGGTTATAAGCTACACTTGGTTAAGCAGCAGTTTCATTTTGAGTTCTTTTATAAATCCTGCGTGCAAAAACTCAGTCCTGACAGTTTGAAAGAGATTACTGAAATATGAGAAATAGAGGTGAAACCAACAGTGAAGTATATAGAAGGCAAATGACTTAGTACACAATTAGAACATCAGTCTGATCCATACAGCGTAACAGTGCAAGAGCAAGAAGTTAAGCTGCAGACTGGGAAGCAAATATAAAATGAAATTATGAAATCATAGAAAAGAG